TGTCCATAACTCCTTTTATTGGGGACTTGTGCCTCCTATCCCCTCTGGGTGAACACTTGTTCATCTTATCTGTTGCTTTGATTGTTCTTTGAGCCTAACCTAGGCCTTCTGGCTACTTGGTTCCTTCCTGTTTCTTTGTAATGAATAAGTAAAGAGGGTGGGCCCATTAGGAAAGCAGTTTAGTTAGTGATTAAGTAAACGGAGCATATGTACATATCTGTATATGGTACAATCTTTTGAGTCTTTTGAGATTTTTCTTTTTTGAGACAGAGTTTTGATATGGAGTTCAGGCTGGCCTTGAGCTCACTTTCTAACCCAGTCTGGTCTCCAACTTGCAACTATTGTCCCGCCTCTGCTTCCTGAGTGCTGGGATTATAGGTATGTGCCACCACACTTGGCTTCTGGTGCAACATTAAATTGATTAAATTAATGTGAGAACACACATACACGTGTATGCATAGATGTGTGTGTCCTACATATTAAATAAGAGTCCTTAGGGTGGCTGTCTCCTATTGCCTTGCATTTTGGCAGGTGAAGGGTTCTGGCTCTCCTAGTAATTGTTATCTGAGCCTCTTCCTAGTATAGCTAACATTATTATTATTATCATTATTATTATTGTCTAATTATCCTAACTGCAGAGTCTACCTATGAAGCCTGAAACTGCTTTCAGCAGGAAGCAGGGGACAAAGACAAGATACATGTGGTGGATTGACAACTGGTAGTCAACATCTAACACCCAACTGAACTGAATCAGTGTGGTGCTGGATGTGGAAGGTCTACCTGAGGATTGCAGCCAAGAGCTTAAAGAGAATGAGAAAGGAAGAGGAGGGCTGTTGAGTCTCCTGGAAAAAAAGCACATTGTGCTGCCTTTCCTGATCCAAATTCAGCTGTTTTCGTCATCAGAATTTAGGATCTCATTGCTGCTGAGGATGGCTGTGGTTCACTTTGGGGAGGTCTGATCCTTACTTTGAGCATCATCATTTCTTGGCTCACAGGAGAAGATGATGTGTTTATTGATCCTCCTGGAGAAGCTTGTTGAATTGGCTTTCCTGCTAAGAACTCAGCTGTTATCATCAGAGAAGCCTGGTACTTCACAGTTGCTGAGGATCACTATGGTTCTTTCCGTGAGAGAACTTGTCCTTACCTTGAGGGTCGATTCCTAGCTCCAGTACATATCCGTCAGCCTTCTCGCACAGATCCTTCATCCCACTGGCATATACTTTCTAGCTTCCACCACTGACCTTTGGGCCTTTCCAGCACAGAACTTTGAAACAGACTTGCATGAGATACTGTTGTGGGGTCTAGGCCTCGAGCTGGTCTCATGGAGAACACTGCCATCTTCAGCTGAACTCATACAGGACATTGCTGTGGGATCCAGGCTCTTGCATGGATTCTTTAGGTCTCCAGCATGTGGACAGATCTCCTGCACTCTTTTGCATTTGATTCTTAGGGTGAATATTATAAAATCCTATAAATTACGTGTCCTATATTCTTTTTCTTTGAAAACTCTGACTACGACAATATACATGCACATCTATCACCACATGTACGATAGTCTGTATACTGCTGGTAATATAGCACTATGTAAGTAAATGGATTCCAGATGTACTCTGGGGCCTGGGTCAAAGGATTTTTGGACTGATTAGATCAGGGGACTTTTTGAAAACCAGAGCAAAAAAAAAAAAATCACTACTCAAAATGGAAACAGGTCTTATGGTTAATCAAAAGAAAAATGGAAAAAAGTTGTGGGATAGCTGTAATAAATACTAAAAAGTAAACTACTGGTGTAATATGGATGAATCATAAAAATACAGTAAAGCATAACAAAAACAAAGTTCATTACATAGGGTAACATTTATATAAAGTTTAAAAATAAATAACATTTGTAGTGGACGTTAAGTCAGAACATAGTGACTCCTTGAGGAAGATGTTTTGACAGAGGCATAAGAGAACCCCTTCCGGGGTATGGAAATGTCATACATCTTCATATCGGTTAGTCACATGGTAAACAATATTTTGCAAGTAAATTTATAAACGTGTTGCTTATGTTAGCCCTCAATAAAAATATTAAAGATAATTCAGGTAGGAGATAAGGGCAGGGAAAACTGGTTGAGCAAATGGCTTTGACCTGTCAATCAAGGAGACCCAGGACACATGTGCAGAACACAAAATCTAGAATGACTTTGCAGCACTTGTGCACCAAACCCATCAGAAAGTGCCACCTTCAGTTCTTTATTTGCATTTTGTGAAAAACAAAGCTTTGATAGGTCAGCTTAGACTTGATGGGTGGCCAAATGAGTTTCTGACAGGTCAACCTTCCCAAATGCTTTGTTGGCATGGGAGAAAAGCAATCTAAAAATAGGAGATACAGTATATAGAAGGCCAGCCATTAATGTAGTGGAGCATGGCAAACCTGCTCATTGGTCTGCTCTCATTTTGTAGAGCATTATTTCTTTTCTACCCTCAATAAATGTAAATCCTTTCTATTTCTTCCAAATTTCTTGTCCAGTTCTTGGCTCAGGATACTACGAACATGGAAAGAATTTCTTTGGGACCTAAAGGCCAGTATTAACCATTCACACAATAAAAATAAGAATCACTCCTACTTCCATTAGAAATTTTCCTTTTTTATATATCTCATAATATTATCTGAAGCAAAAATGTACATTAAAACAAAGCAAGATGGGACAAATATACAATTATGATAAATGTATTTATTTAGTCTTTTTGAGACAAAGTTTCACTATGTAGTACAGGCTGGCCTTGAAGTCAGTTTGTTCCCAGGCTGGGCTCAAACAGCAATCCTCCTGACTCAGCCTCCTAAGTGCTGGGATTACAGATGTGCACTACCATGCTTGGCAGTTATGGTAAATTTACAGTTTTTCAGCATGATGGCTCACACACATCTGTAATCCCAGCACGATGAGAATTTTAGCCTAGCCTCAGCAATTTAATGTCTGGGTGGAGGGTAGGCCACAAATGCACCTCAGAGGTAAGTCCTGGTCCCTGGTAATTAATATGCACATACACATACACATACACATGGGTGTGTGGTTTTTAGTGACTTCAAATTCTAGCATATAATTTTTTTTAAAAACATAGAAAAGGAGCAGGGGATATAGCTCAGTAGCACAGCGCCTGCCTGGCAAGCGTATGGTCCTGAGTTTGATTCCAGATACACACATACACAAATGATAGGAAAGATTTGAAATTTACACAGAAGTAATAATTATATTTAAATTATTAACGTGCTAAATTATAAATGTGCTAAAGCTCTACCTAAAAAATTAGAATAAAAATAACATAAGGAAAATAAACATAATACCACCAAATAAAATCAAAATAGTTGATCAGCATAGCTGAGACTCGGTTCTTTTCAAGTATACAGAAAGATAAAAGAAACAAAAACCAAAAGACCTTTTAGAAAGACTGTCACTAAAGCAGAGAAGGTGAGAGGAAAAGAGAGGTCAAAATAAGGCAATGCTATAATAAAATCTGAAATTTTGTTGTTACTGAGTGACGGTCTCACTATGCCGTTCAGGCTGGCCTAGAACTCACTGTGTAGTCTAGGCTACTCTCCAACTCACAGCAGTCCTCCTGCCTCAGCCTCCTGATTGTAGGAATCACTGGTGTATGCCACCACATTCTACTAAAATTTGAAAATTTCAACAAATATATATTTTCTTAGAAATTTGCTTGCAAAAACCAAATCAAGAAAAATTTTAAAATACATAGTCTCAAAACTGAAATAAATTGATTCACTATTATATTGTAAACTGCTTAAATTCATCATTTTTTAGAAAATGCATACATACTAAATAGGTTTACATTGAAATACAATAAAGTTTTTATAATAATGTAATACCATAGTTCATAACATGAAATATGCGATGCATTTAACACTTCCATTCATGCATGTTAAAAAATTCTTAAGACTTTAACAGTGTTCCCATTAAAGCTGAAAGCAGCATTATAATGCCTTTCATTACTCAATCCTTTATAGGTACTGTCATAAAGCCATATAACCATGTGAATGTATACATATGTACACACTAACTTTTCATGATTAGCTTTTTATATAACAGCCTTAAAAATTTATACTACTTTTTGCACAGCCCCAAAACACATTAAATAAATATGGTAAAGAAAAGCTATTTCAAGCACAGACTTGCTCATCCCTACTTTTCGCACTAATCTCCATTTAAAGAATATTAAGAGGAACAAATATGAGCTGTAACACTTGCTTAAATACACCCCGGCAGCGGTGCTTTGCTGAGGCTGCCGCCTCTTTCCAGAAGGTTCCAAGGTTCTGATTTGTGGGCCGCAAGCGCTCCTCAGGAAAGAACCCAGGTGGAACTGGGATTGGATCTCCACGTTTTAATTTACTTGTGCCTTTAAGTCAACGTTCTATGTCTGTTTTTGTTAAGGGCAGTTTGAATGACATAACTATGAACCTTTAAAAACTGAAAAATTGGAGAAAATGGTAAATAAAGAAAACCAACACTTCACCCCAGAGTGACTCCTCCTTTCACTTCTGGATTGGCCCCTGGCGCCTCTCACCCCCACCAACCCCAAGCATCCACCGCTTTCCTTCCGACATGTGCGGAAAAGAAAATCTCATTTTTATTAAATGTTACATATGAACTATTTTAAACTAATACTGAGTTCATTTTTTCAATTGATAGGCGATACGTGATGTGTGTTCATTTGAAAATGGCGCGGGTAACTAGGATTATCAAAATTGTCATTAACAGTAAGGGGAAATATTCCCCCCCCCCCCCCACCTAACGGCTTTCACTGGGTCTACGCTGGAGACGTTGCCCGCTCGGGTCAATAGTTCAAGCTGAAGCCAGGGCAGAAGCCCCCAAACCGACTTTCCAACGATGGGGAGCCAGGGGGAAGCGCCAGCCAATCACAACCCGCAACTGCCCAGAGTTCGCAGACCCTACGGGGCACCGTCGCCCCGAGTCCCGCTGCGCAGGCGCAGTTGGGGCTCTGGGGGTCTGAGACTCACCAGCCGACCAGTAGGAGGCGCTCTTGACAGCGGGCTCTCACTGCGCCCACACCTTCGTCTCCTCAGCGTCTCGCTTCTCGCCGCCGCGGACCGCGAAACCCGCCATGGCCGAAGCCGACCGCCCAGGGAAGCTCTTCATCGGGGGGCTGAGCCCCGAAACCGACGAGAAGGGGCTCGAGGCCACCTTCGGCAAGTATGGCCGCATCATCGAGGTGCTGCTGATGAAAGACCGAGAAACCGCCAGGTCCAGAGGCTTCGCGTTCGTCACCTTCGAGAGCCCGGCGGACGCCAAGGCCGCCGTCCGAGACTTGAACGGCAAGTCCCTGGATGGTAAGGCCATCAAAGTGGCCCAGGCCACCAAGCCGACGTTCGAGAGCGGCCGGCGCGGCGCGCTGCCGCCCCGCAGCCGCGGTCGCCCGAGGGCCCTGCGAGGCGGCTCTGGGGCCCGACGACCCCCGTCCCGGGGCGGGCCGGCCGACGAGGGCGGATATGCGGGCGACTTCGACGCGCGGCCCGCCCGCGCCCCGCTCCCCCTGAAGCGCGGGCCGCCGCCACCGCCGCGCAGGGCCGGGCCGCCGCCCAAGAGGGCCACGCCGTCGGGCCCGGCTCGCAGCGGCACGGGAGGACGCGGGCGGGCCCCGGCTGCGCGGGGAAGGGACGGGTACACGGGCCCGCCTCGGCGGGAGCCGCCCCCGCGCCGCGACCCTTACCTGGGCCCGCGGGAGGGGGGCTGCTCGCCCCGAGACGGCTACTCGGGCCGCGACTACGCGGGCGCCCGCGACCCCCGCGACTTCGCCCCCTCTCCGCGAGACTACACCTACCGCGACTACGGCCACGCCAGTGCCCGCGACGACTGCGCGTCGAGAGGCTACTGCGACCGCGACGGCTACGGCGGCCGCGACCGAGATTACGGCGACCACCTGAGCGGAGGCTCCTACCGAGACACCTTTGAGAGCTACGGCGACCCGCGTGGCGCCGCCCCCGCTCGCGGCCCGCAGCCATCTTACGGCGGAGGAGGCCGCTACGACGAGTACCGCGGATGGTCGCCCGATGCCTACCGCGACGGCTATGGCAGTGGCGGTCGCGGCGACCGCTACTCGGGGAGCCGGGACCGCGGGCTGCCCCCGCCCATGGAAAGAGGGTACCCGCCAGCGCGGGAGTCCTACAGCCGGTCGGGCCGCAGGGCACCCCCCAGGGGAGGCCGCCTTGGAAGCCGCTCTGAGAGAGGGGGAGTCCGGAGCAGATACTGAGCAGGAACACTTGGGACCAAAATGTGTTTTCCAGAGAAGAACCTGCTCTGTGTTGGCTGCCAAGTACTGATACAAACAAGAGTTGTTTTACCGTTTACCAAATTCTTGTTAACTTGCTCTCTCTTAAGCTTTAGAGAGGAACATAGTTAAAAGTCGTTTAATTCTTTTTGGAATTGTTAAGTTTCTTTCAACAAGTTCATGTTAAAAGTATGACTTGAACCTGCGTGCTGTCTTCTATTTCAAAGTAGAAATTCTCCTAAAGGCGTCTTTTAAATTTTTCTGATAAATGAGGCAAACAGTTCTGAGAATTTTTTTAAAAACATCTGCCTATCCAAAATGGAAAATGGATCGTTTTGCCCATTCAAACGAGCTAGGTTTTTGGGATAAGAGTGGGAGGATTGGTGTATATTACTCAATTTCAGGTTTTTAGATGAATCTCAGTTTTTGCAGTACTGAAAACCACCACCACCAAAAACCACCTAGATGCTTACGTAAAAACAAGTTCTATGTACTCATTCTAAAAAGTGGATGAATAGTGCTGGCCATAATTTGCCTCTTTTTCTTTGGGGATCAGCAGTTTATCCCCTCTCAAAAAATACCACTCATATATTTTAAACAACAGTGGAATACTAAATTTAAAAATTGGCCAACCAACCATAAAGCTGGAAACAAAACCAAAAAAATTAAAACTTCAACTGATAGTATTTTTTCCCTATTATTAAGTAAAAAATGTACCTGCAGTGGATTTGGGATCATGATGACTATCTAACTCCAAACTACTGGTTCCCGTGGAGAGAATTGGCTTCTTCCCCCGGGGGTGCAGAGACCAAATGTGAGCAGTTTCTCAGAAGCAAAGGTTAAGGAATCCCTGAAAGAGGTTGACATTTCAGCTGTGCTAGGATCTCAAACTGGTATGAAGCAGTGGGGCCTTCCTGTCCACAAAAGACAAAGAGCTTAAGTTTGTATGTTCCTTACTCTTAAAAGAGTGAGAAAGGAAAAAACATGAGAAAGGAGTAAGCAAAGGAAGATCAGTGATACTTCTTCCTATTAAAAGTTCCTTTTTACCCCAAGCTTAGGGCAAGAAACAGCTTTTTATTCGGCACACGTGGAATACCCCTAATTATGAGAGAGGTATACAGTCTGTGTTCAGTGTAATGATTACTGGAGGAAACAAATGCCTAAATAATAAAAATATTCAGAGTTTTGAATGCAACACACAATTAAAAAAAAAAATTTTTTTTTTGTTTTTTTTTTTTTTTTTTTTTTGGACAAAAGAGTGAATTGAGGGATAGGCCACATTAGTGGCCCAGAAGATCAAATTCATCAAACATTTTAGAAATCCAGAAATCTAGGAAAAATACTTAAGGCCTTTATGGAAAAAAAGTTGTTAATCTTTACTAAAGGACAAAAATAAGTAAACGGAGATTCGTGTTTCTTTTATGGTTGGGAAGATTTTTATCATTCTCAATCTGACAAATCAATTTGAAAAAGACCTCAGATGAAGTTAGAACATATTTTTACCCCCACAGTTTCCTTTCCTTCCCTAATACCATTTATGTGTTGATCAGTGATGGAATGTTAAGTAAAAAACTTGGTAAAACTGACTAAAAACGAGACAGCCTCACTTCACTACAAATTACTAAGAAACATGGTATTTACAGAAAAGACACTAATGAGAGATGTAGCTAATGGTAAAATTTACATGGTGGAATAAACAAAAGCCTACGCAATTCTGAAAAAGACTTGCCCCAACAGGTATCAAGAATTACGAACCTCTGGTAATTCATACAGTTGCAACAGACAAGGACAGATAGGCCAGTAAACTAAAATTGAGCCTAGAAACAGGCCTAATTACAGGAAAACATATGTGATAGGTAGTTTTTAAAAAGTTAATGGTGAAAATAATGGACTTTTAAAAATGAGCCTGATGTGGTGGTGCACGCCTGTAATCCCAACAGTAGGGAGGCTGAGACAGGAGGATTGCTGTGAGCTAGAGATCAGCCTGAACTGCAGAGTGAAACCCTGTCTCAAAAATTAATTTAAAAAAATTTTTTAAGTGATTTATCTTCTCAAAAAAGAAGATTATTTAATTCACAGAAAACACAAAAATACAACCTAGGTGATTTGAAAACAAATGTGAAGAAATTTTTTTAAAAACTTAGAAGAAAATGAAGAAAGGCATTCACCACCCTGGCATACAAATTCCTCTTTTTAAGAAATTTAAAAGTGCAAATTTAGAAGGAAAATATTGATTAAAATTTTCATACTATTTTTCAGATATGTCAAAAGATAGTATTAACAAAGTGTAATGTTAATTTGGAAGACTGCATTGAAGTAGTACTTAAAAATTAGTAACATTTTTTTAAAAGGCCAAAGGAACACCGTTGTGGTAGGTATATAAATTGATAAAATTTCGAAAGCAGTTTTGACAATACTTAATAAAATTTGGAGTGTTCATACCTTATTACCCAGAAATTCCATTTCAAGAAAAGAACCTAGAGAAACCTGTACATGTACACAAGGAAATATGCACAAAACTGATCTGTACAACATTCTTTGAATGTTAAAAAGTATAAGCAGCCCACCTGGAGTACATCAACAGATTTATTTTTTTACTGGACTTAAATAAGAAGCTAATGTGAATAATCCAGATCCACATATTAACATGGGTAAGTATTAACATACTTGTTTGATAAAAATTGCATAGATGTATAGTAAAAGAATGTGGACTGATTCACAAATCAACATGAGGAAAGGAGATAGAATGAATAGACTTTAGCTAAATGTTTAAGAAGACAATTTTTAAGCAAAAATGGTAAGTTAATATATTAAATTACTGTGGCCTGTACATTGGTATAAGTATGATAAAAATTTCAGTACAAAAGCCATAACTTAATACAGACACCCAGATTGCATAACTACATATGAAAAAATGTCAACTATTACTCTGAAACTCTTAGATGTAATATTTTCGGAGTGATTCTCTTGGTTCTTTCATCAGTATTCTTTGGTATTCTTGGTTCTTTCATCAGTAAGGGTAATGTCTTACTCTGTTTGACCATTTCTAGACCCTTTTGACCCTAGACTGCTTATAGCTAACTGGCCATAACCTCAACAATAGAATTTAGGTATCTGTCAGATCTTAAAGGAAGTTGTAGTTTTTCCTGCTTTTTTATTTTGAAGCATAATAGCAATGAAAAACTCCCCAGTTAACCTTAAAAGCCCTTCCTAAATATGGAAATAAGCTTCTCAATATTGAAATGATTGTTAACTTTTTAAGCAAGTGGATGAGGTGTAAACATTTGGAAATGAAAGACTTAGATGAATTGAGATTATAGTATATACAAAGTCTCAATTCCTTGTGTAAATTTTTTTTTCTTTTTTTCAGACAGTCTCTACAGTTTAAGCTGGCCCTGTGCTCACTTTGTAGCCCAGGCTGTTCTTGAACTCATAACAATACTCCTGCCTCAGCCTCCTGAATGCTGGGATGCCAGGCATGCCTCACCATGCCTGCCTTATGTACATATTTTTTTAAACCCATATATTTATTGAAAATTAATATATTAAAGTAATTTGGGGGCATATGAAAGGGGATATTTTAGAACTTTTGTAATCACTTTCAAAGAGTGAACATACCAGATGTTTCCAAGGACTCACCCACTGTGTAAATTTTAAGCAATCTGTATCACAACCAAAATCCTTACATTTTCACTGCTGAGCTTTTCTCAGCCTACTGTGTCCTCCACATTCCTTCTATCCAAAATGATTCTAGAAGCATTCAAACTAACTGTGGGAAGCTAATAGTGTTACTGAATAGTTCCCCACCAGGTGAGTACTAAACATTTTAAAATGGTGATGACAACTGGAAACCTACTTTGGTTCCTGAGGCTATCTAAATAGATGGACTGAGAATGCCTTTTTCCAAAAGGAAATGGCTCTTCCTTCCCCTTGCCTTAGGATAGGTGAGGGTGAAGACTTTCCTGCTTCTATTCTTCCTGACCTGGAGCTCTGTCACATTTGTCAGCCTTTAAGTCATAAGCTTTCTGTAGTACCTCCCTTTTAGCTTTTACCTTAATAGTGATTTTTCCCTACTTAGCAGGTGGAGTGGGAGAGGAGCAGTCACTGTGTTACCATAACTGTTTTTCTCTTTGAGGCATATTTAAGAACTCACCAAGGAGACTTGATTCTGAGCCTAATTTCTCTTAGAGAGTAGCATGCCTAACAATGGTACAAAAGTGATTCTAAGTGTTTGTGTTATTGAATACATGGTTATCAAGTGGAAATAACTAGAACAACCATAGCACAATGATAACCCCACTGTATGCATCTATCAAACTTCCTAAAAAACGAGTGGAGTGAGAAATCTGAAATCTTAGGAAATTTTTAGGAAAAACATTAGGAACAAATAGTGTACATTCCCATTTTTTGGAAGTCATTTGGTAGAGAAGTAACATCATTTGGTTGTATGTATCAGTCCTCACTCTGTTAGTTGTGTGGGTTGAGCAGTTAGAAGTTTTGATTTTCAGTTTTTTCATATGTAAATAGTAACAAAACTATTTTACAAAATTTGTGATAGTTTTACATAAAATGATCCATATAAAGCACCCAGTATAGTGCTCTGGAATTTACCATTCAATTCCACCTAAATTCCCAACTTGAAATCTTACACATTTAGATGAGTCTTCAATCCCAATTTATTTTTCTCTGTCTTCTTTTTATCTCGTAATGGCAAGGGATGATGTTAACCAGCATACTCAGTGTCCAATTCCTAACTTATCTGAAATGAGTTAACTAGAAGTAAATACTAAGACCTTAATTTATTCAAATCTTGTAGAGTTTAAAATTACCATCCGACATAGTAATTATAGATTCAGGTTTATTGTACAAAGTGCTTGGACTATAAAACATGGATTATTGTTTTTGACCCAGTATTTAGTGCACTACATAAGTCCCAATAGAGTATTGCAACAGATACACTTCCAACAGTAATGGAAGATCTGGTAGAAGTGAATTCAGATGCTATATCTACTACTACAGTATGATCTTGGTCAGATTTCTTACACTGCTTTGTTTCACTTATTTACAAAATAGAGATAATGCTTCCCTTTTGAGATTGTCCATCTGTCTGTTTACTCATTGGATCTAATGTGAAATATTGATGTAGTACCAACCACATATCAAACATGCCATCAAGGCAAATAGTAGAACAGCACTCATCC